TCGAACCTGGATCGAGGTAAGATTTTTTCATCTGTGACAGAGATGGGAATTTCCTTAGATCAGTCTCGAGCATTCTGCCGACTACTCAGAATTAGGTTTTCCTGCAGTTTTCTTAGTTCATAAGGTAAATACCGGACTAGCATAGAACAACTTAAGACCTTCTGCAGAGGCACCTCTAAAAAGCATTATGCGGTCACTCTGTAATTGAGCGCAAGCCTGTTGAGGACCCAGAACAAGGGAGGGATAGTAAATAAACACACCCAAGCGTGAAAACTCATCTCCAGCGCTGAACAGAAGAGGAAAAAGAAGGCAAGACGGGCCCAAATAGATCTAACTGCGCCAACAATCACCTCCAAACCATCCCCTTTCGTAACTCAACCTTGACCCAGAGGCAGGCTCCTAGAGCTAACTCCGGTCAGGCGGGCGAACGAGTAGGCGGAGAGAAAATGAGGCAGAGGTCGACCCAACCGCCGACGTAGAAGGGCAGACCAAAGCCCCAACCAAAGGCGGATTTCAGTAAGGCTGGAGCAACGCGCAGTAGCTACAAGCAAGCTGTTGAAAGGCAACTCAAAGTAGCAATTATATATAGATACCGTAGGATAACGGCTAACCAGGCGGATATGGTACGAAATCACTTGGTCAAAGTTCTTTACCAACATCTGTTCACCCTAAAAGGCGCTACACTAGTACCCACGTTTAGGGGTTGAAGCTATTAGGCCGAGATCCTAAGAATCTCGTGCGAGAACAACCATTCCCTTGAGTGGTTGAAAGAGGTGGCAACCTCCCACATGAAGATGCAGAATTCCTGAGCAAAAGTAGGCAGGTGGTGTCTCTTCCACACAACCGCAAAGGATCAACCTCAAGAGAGGCTGATGGTTTTCGGCATTGAGGAGAAGGACCAAACTAACCTAATCGCCAGGGGGAAAGCTAAGTTATGGGTTTTCCACTTTAAAGGTGACGTTTGGTAACCCCGCTGAAACTTAGGTGGTGAATGCGTCAGTACAACCACCACAACACACCAGCAGCTGCCACAGAGGCAACTGCAATAAGCTACGCCCAGGCTGCCAAGGCAACCTGTGTTCAGTGGTTACTCCAACGTCAGCAACTTGTCAAATCGAGGGTTTCTGCCCTTGGGGGCACAAAAGAAACCGTTTTCTTTGACACACGGCAAGAAGGTAACCTCCTTCATTCCTACGGAGAATGAATGGGGGGTTTCCAGTCAGATGGTCAATGTGGCGAGGTTGACCTGGACGGTGAAATCTTTCTCAGCATACAAATCACTAGGATTGGACGGTTTACTACCAGCCCTCCAGCAATAGGGACTGGATGTCATCTACCTAGTGAGAATATATAAGGGATGGGATGGAGGGAGATAGAAATTGTCTTTATCCCCAAACCTCGTAAATATGATTACACTACCCCTAAAGTATCAGCCGAATTAGTTTGATGTGTTTTCTTATTAAGACACATTTGAAAAACTGTGCGATAGATACATAAGGGATACGGCGCTAACAGGGTTTCCTCTGCACCCTAACTAACCAACACGCATACTCCCCAAGACCTACAAAGTCAGCCCACTGCACCGCGTTGTAGGGCGGGTTGAGAGATCGCTGGGCTATGAACAGTCCACTCTGGGAGTTTTCATAGATACAGAAGGGGATTTTGACAGGACAACCTGCGAAACAATAGAAATGGTTTACGCCACCACGGTGCCGGCGTAACAAAAGTTGTGCGAGGCTGTATTGCGCCGCTGCTGAATAATAAGGTGCACAGTAGTGAAAGGATGGCCTCGGGGTGGGGTGCTATCACAACTTCTGTGGAACTCAACTGTAAACAGTCTCCTCAGTCGCCTCAATGACAGTGGAAGGGCCGGATTTACGTACCAGGGGAACCAGAGCAACAGCTTGTGGCCAGAGTTGGACTGGGTCAACCATAGAGTGACCCAGTGACCCGGTGACCCAGTTAGTTTACTGACCCGGTGACCCAGTGACCCGGTGACCCAGTTAACCCGGTGACCCAGTTTGACCCGGTGACCCAGCTTGACCCGGTGACCCAGTTTGACCCGGTGACCCATCTTGACCCAGCTTTACTCAGTGACCCATCTTGACCCGGTGCCCCAGTAATTAAATTATTGTTAGGTATCATCCAAAACAATTTCAAGTAACTTTTAATTTAAAAAAAAACTTCCTCAATAATATTCGCCAACAAGCACGTAGCCCAATTTCATTCAAGAGAACTAATACCTCAAAAAAATCAAATGCATTTGTTTATAGTTTGTAGTCATTTAGTCAATGAAAGTATTTAGAGAAACGATTTATTTGGATTAAGCTAACTAGTAGAAAAAAATTAAATGAGAATGAATACCTGTAACCAAACTGGTAAGCCCTGAAGCAAAGAAATGAAGGAGGGAACTGTTTAGAAATAACATTACTCTAATACAATTCGGGACATGGAAAGTTTTTGACGGCAGTATTAAAGCAAACATCACAGAAATGGCAGTTGTCAAGCAATCGAGTATTATTTTCAACAAACCAGCATTTCATTTATTTCATAATCTGTACACTTGAACCGAGGGTACTGACTTAACTGCGTTATTCGATCAAACTAGGTGACTGGGTCGAATTGGGTCCCCGGGTGAAATTGGGTCGCTGGGTCAAACTGGGTCACTGGGTCAAGTTGGGTCACTGGGTCAAACTGGGTCACTGGGTCTAACTGAAAAGAGTATGACGTGACCCAACGACCCAGTGACCCAGTTTAATTTAGTGACCCAGGTGACCCAGTTGACCCGGTGACCCAGTGACCCAGTCCAACTCTGCTTGTGGCCCCCCAACCCAAGTGGCCCCAGTGAAAAGCGTAGAGAATGTTGTAAAATGGTTTGGTATATGTTACCTACTCTTGAAGTTTACTACGTTTAGTAAACATTTTGTAAACTGATCCGTGTAGAGATAGGGGCCCCATCCCTTTCTCGTGGGGGCTCCTAAAGGTGTAAATCCGGCCATGAAACAGTGGCTACTACACGGAAAATTTGAGGATACTCTATGCAGACTGATGCAATCACCCCTTAGAGCTAGAGGGTCTTCGAACTCCCCTGCTATTCCAAGTGCACCTCCAATATTCAAAGTCTGTGAAATATTTAGGAATCATACTTGACAAAAAAACTGAATTGGACCAAACATATCCAACTCAAAACCGGAATAGCAAATAGGGCTTTCTGGAAAGGTCGCTGCGCAATTGGGAGACCATCCCCGAAAGCTGTCTCATGGTGGCAAACCTATGCTCTGCTATGGAGCAATAATTGTCTGGTGGTCTAGAACCAGACTCTCCACAACCGTGGCACTTCTTAATCATGTGCAAAGACTTGCGTGCCTTGCTTGCACGGGCGCGATGCGAACAACTCCCACAGCCGTCATGGAGGCCTCTCTGGATCTGCCTCCACGTGACAGAGCAGGCTACGCTGGCAACCTTGCGTCAGGAAAATAAGAGGGTCTTGATAAATGAGGTACTGAAGAGGGCTACTCTCGAATTCTGGGCGAGGCAATTCAGCGATTGCCTATCCTAGAAGGGCGATCGGACCCACTCACTATTCAATTCATATTAGGGAAACACTTACATTTTTCTGGATGAGGATGTGGCATCCCAACAAGACATATTCATTCATCTTCACGGATGGATCTAAAACAATGGAAGGAACAGGGACTAGTATTTACCCCACAGAACTGAACTTCCATATCACCCAACCACTAAGCAAACTTCATACTGTATTCCAATCAGAGTTGGTGGGACTAACGCTCAGTGCAAGGAAGTTCTTAAGCATAACATAAAGAACAACTCTCCAGTGACAGCAGGGCTGCTCTGCAGGCACTTGGTTACTGTAAAATTACCTGTGGATCAAGTAGCAAGCAGCAACACCACTGAGCTCATATGCTTAAACGGCAGGTAATAAGAAAGCCAGTCAGTTATCACGACTGGCCTCAAAACAGATGTTTTATGGTCCAGAACCGGCTCTTCCACTTACAGTTGCAACTGTAAACAACTTAGTAACTCAAGACACCCAAACCCAACACAGGGCTAAGTGGAACACGATGTTAGACTGCCGCCATGCGAGAGAAGCCTTCAAGGGACCATCTCGCAGCATAATGCGTTTTTGCACAGGGCTATCAAGAAAGAACCTGAGATTAATCGTGGGCAAACTTTCTGGGCACTTCAAACTAAACAAACACATGCACCGCATGGGTTGGTAGAATCACCATCTTGTAGAGGATGTTACACAGACGATTAGATGGCACACCACATACTTTGTCAATGTCCCGCTCTATTCCAACTAAGGCGATCCATGTTAGGGTTCCCCTAACCGGACATGGCTACGGTTATCACCGCCTCTCTTTCCGGCATTCTAAGGTTCATCACACGTGTGGAATGGCTTAACTGACGTTGAGGCGCCTGACCAGTCAAGGCGGTAGTACAAAGAGCCCGGATACGCATAGACCCTGTGCGCCCTCCTATCGTAATCCAGAATCCCTCCACTAAAGCAAAAGTGCCGAATGGCATTTGTAAATTAGCAAAAACATTCTATGATCTTTAGACTTCTGTGCCTGCGTGGTGCAACTTAGTCTCACCAGCGGGTAGCTGACGTCACAGCTCTACTCTTTCTCTTTTCTTCACGTATTGTTTCCTAGCCTCTTTCCAATCACGAAATTATTTTGCCCATCCCTCGGCGAATTCATTTTTCTGAATCTTTTGTTTCTGGCACGTATATTATAAGTAAAACATAAAATATGCCTATCATATATTGTCAAAATTTTGCAAAATGTGAAAAAATACTCGAGCACGTAGAACATTTTTTATTCCAACGTATGTACATCAAATTTTTTATTACAAAATTTGTTCAAGACAGCAGAAAGATGCCTGCAGATGTCAAGTAAATGGAAATGGGATGAGGACATTTCGCCCCCCACAACTCGCCCCCGGACATTTCGCCCCCGGACATTTCGCCCCCGGACTTTTCGCTCCTCTGCGACATTTCGCACCTAAAAGTTGATTTAAATTTTGACATATTTGTTTAGACTTCTAGATTAATTTCGATATTGACATTGACCAAAGTAATTAAGCTTAGCGAATTAAATAATAGATTACCTACATAATGCCAATTGCAAAGTAATTGCGATATTTTATGTGCAATTATGATAATAGCATCTTAATCAACTGACGGTGCTTAAGACCCCATTAATTTCCAATATCATTGGGAATTTATAGGTCCACATGCTGAAGAATGGCATAGGTTTAATGGGTTGATAATGACATCTTAATGATCAGGGCGCGAAATGATTCAGGCATTAACTATAAGATACTCCATCAGGGCCAATTTATCGGTTAGTTTAACACTTGAATCGTTTGAAGTTACACCGATCATGTCGTTTGTTACATCAAGTAGAGATGGTAGGAAATTTATTGATGACAATAATTTTGTGTATGTGTTTTCGAAGAAAAGTGCAAATAAAGAAAACTCTATATGGGTTTGTGAAAAAAGAGGTCTATGTAAAGGTCGCATCTGGACAATAGGTAAGTTCTATGTTTATCCTTAATATACATATTCTCATAAGTAATACATTTTAGCTAACAGAGTAGAAGTTGTCCGTATAGTAACACCTCACAACCATGCTGCAGAAGCAACAAGGGGTCCAGTGTTAAATATTCTGAGTCGTGTGAAAGAGCGAGCGCGTGATACAGAAGAAACTCCTCAGCAAATATTGGCAACGAATCTGCAGAATGTGCATAGGAATATTATGGCGAAATTGCCGAGACAGGACGCCATCAAACGTACAATTCGCCGACAACGCAATCAGCAAGGTCTCCCGGAGTTACCAACAGATCTGGAACACTTGAATATTCCCCTACAATATCGTGTAATTGAAGTAGATGGCTTGGAGCAACAGTTCCTAAAGTACGATTCCCAAGACACTCTGCTACCTGATAGGATATTAATTTTTGCCACAGATGATAATTTAAATATGCTAAACAGAAGTGATAGCTGGTATGGAGATGGAACATTTTCTGTAGCTCCAAATTTATTTTTTCAATTATATACTATCCATGTTGAGCAATATGGAACCGTGACACCTGCCATTTACGCCCTGCTACCAAACAAAACCAAGGAAACTTATCAGAAGTTACTCCAACAATTAAAAAATTTGATACCTGGGCTGTTGCCAACTAGGGTACTGCTTGACTTTGAAGCAGCGGCAATGGGAGCATTTTCCGAAGAATTTGAAGGCATTGCGGTATCCGGGTGTTTTTTCCATTTATGCCAAAATGTATGGCGAAGAGTACAGTCGGAGGGATTACAGGTAATTTACTAATTTTCTTTCTATATTTTTCTTACTTATTTTTCTCTTTTCGCAGATGTTATACCAAGGAAATCATGATTTTGCTCAATGGGTGCGGATGATCCCAGCCATTGCTTTTGTGCCTCCACATCGAGTTTTGGAGGCATTTGATGAGTTAGTGGAGTATGAAAATTTTCCACCAGAGGCCCAACCGATTGTGGATTATTTTGAGGATATCTACATCGGCCGCCGTGCTCGCAGACAGAGACGTCCACCCATTTTTTCTATTGAGATGTGGAACATGTACCAACGTACTTTGGATGGCCGCCATCGAACCAATAACAACATTGAAGGTTGGCATCGAGGTTTCCAAAGTGTGTGTGATACTTCACCAAATGTTTTTAAGTTCATTGAATCTCTGAAAAAGCAGCAAACAATTCATGCTTACCAAATTAATCAATTTATAACTGGAGCACCACCACCGCGACCAAATAAACGCTACGCTACTATTTCGGCTCGTATCCATGTAATAGTTAATGACTACGATAATAGAAACATTATAGATTATTTAAGAGGAATTTCCAATAATTTTGCATTTTAGTTTGTAACTTTTTTTAAATTTTCGTGTTAGCTGGTAACTGTTTGAAATAAATCTTTTATAAAGTAATGATCACGTGTGTTTATTATTCGATAAGCTAATATCATAATTCATCATACCTATAGAATACTGTAAGTAAAATATAATATACTAATAGAGACTACAAATATGCCAAACATTAACCATTGGGGGGCGAAGTGTCCCAGGGGGCGAACTGTCTCAGGGGGCGAACTGTCCGGCGGCTAATTGCGGGGGGCGAACTGTCCGGGGGCGAGTTGTGGGGGGCGAAATGTCCTAAAACCAATGGAAATGTACCATTCAATTACAATTTTTTACCTCACATACCTATCCCTTGAAGCAGAAAAGCACTCTTCCAGGGGCCGTGATTTACAAACGCGCTTATTAAAATTTAATTTAAAGCGTTTCTGATTCGTATTCATAAACGTCATTCGCATTTCCAATTTTACATGCTTTGCGTAGTTGTACACGCATATATTAACGCATACCTGAGCTCTTAAGCACGATTTGTTAAAAGTTTCCATCCTTCTTGGCAATATGAAATGTGGTTTAATCAATTATACTGCTCTCGTGTAGGAAGTTAAAAAATAAAAGCGTAAAGTTAGAATCGAAAGTAACCTTATTTCTGATATAATTCTCTTTATATATAGGGTGTTCCATATCCATGGGTTCTCAAAGTCGATTTAGTAATGGTTTGTCACATTTAAGAATTTACACTAAGAATACCCATCAGAACTACTAAAATTATATATTGTTTTATTTATTTATTATTTATTATATTTTGCACAATATTCTAAAGCCTATACTACAAAACGTCCTCAAATTGTTAATTTTATTTGACTTGAACAGTAAGCGTAGTGGTCTAAGGAGGCTAATGTTCCATATTATGTCTAACTAGTACGACAGATGCATCCTGGGTAATAACCTTCATGTTGTGAGTATCCTGTTTTAACACTCCTTACTCCAACATTTAAACCGTTACTAGTGATACAAGTCAAGTGCGGCACCGTTGATTGAGTCTCAGTGAGACCTACCACTCTCTATTCATGAGTACCGATTCTCGCCACTCCATTTTGAAGATATAACGTTTTAACTCCACCAATACATACATGTGTTTTGTCAAAACCTCCAGATTTCTCTTTGCGACTATCGACACTCTTTCTAAAAAGCGTCATATCTCCGTTACTATAGTGACTCGACCAGGTTGCATACATCTTGAGAAGATTTACACTTTCCCTTTATAAGTAATACGAACTTCCAACACTCCCTTCCTTTAATTCAAAAGATAGGAACAAATGAGTTTACCATTTTATTTCCGAATTTTAATATTTTTACAATAATGGTAACTTTTATATACTATTCCACTTGAAATACTTTAGAAGGTCCCGTTTTATGGTTTTGGAATGCGTTTCACTCCCTATCAGTTATGATCAGGGTTATGATAAGAATAATATTCAGATTTTTCTTATATAAAAATGTTACTCTAAAGCTCTGCCTTTCTACAGTTAGTGTCGTTAGTAAAAGCTGGACCCTTGCACGTTTGCTTGCGTTTATTTACTGATATTATGATAACATTTAACAAGACCGCTTGCGTTTATCATCTTGGGATCATAACGATTGTGCTCGCGTCTGCCCTTCACTTTGTTTTAAGGATATATTCGAAATCCTTAGTATCAAAAACCACATTTTACCTCACAAGTTAATAAAGTTATTATCGCCAAGTTTGGAGAATGTGTTGCTGCATGATAATTTGTACAGTTCTTTTCTTTAACTAATTTATGTCAATCTAAAAGTGAATCTGCGTTTTATCATACCTTTCACTATCCACACATCATCCAACAGTTTTATCTACATTCTTGGATGTTTCTGATCGAAAATTTTGGTTTGTAGGCAATAGGTACAAAAATCGTAAAGATCTGCAGTGCAGAAATACGTTAAAAAATGGGTGAAAGGAATAGGGAGAATGCAAAAAATGCAAGTGCTATAAATTTTCATATAATATGGTGCACTAATGATCACTGAGCATGGAAATGAAAGAATTTTTTCAAAACAAGCCAGCGTTTTCTCAAAATTTGGGAAAGAAGTTTGAATTTCGTGACGCGGTCCAGAAACGTTTTCTAATTGGGTGACGTCACAAGCGCGCTTCAAGCCCCACCTCCAAATGATCTAATAAGATGTAAAGCGCCTGGAACGTTAATATCCGGAATAGCTGTTTTGTTTATATGTTTTGTGAGCACCCAGTGATGTTTCTCACAAATTCTGATGTTATAGAAACATGAAACCGGGATTACAGAGAGGCAACGCGCATAACTTAGCACACATTGATGTACCAATAGTGTGCGATTACTACTCAGTGCTCAGTCATCTAACAACTTACACTAACATGATCTTCACTGCAATAGAGTACACAGTTTTTTTATACCTCTGATACATAGCGCAGTTAACATGCAGCTGAACACCGGTTTTTCTTTTTTTTTGTGGGTACCTACCCTATCTTTTGAAACCGCGTTACAAATATTTTATCGGGTGCCGTTGCTGTTGTATTTTGTCATGGGCAATTTTTAAGTCACCTAAGGTTTATTGCAGGCAATATTCATTGGCGATGTACGTCGTACTGGCTCAACACCGACTCTTGCGTATATACGTGACCAAAACTGCATAAATTTAAAGTAATTAAGTATGGGATCGCACTTCGTTGTGCCTATAATTTAAAAGTAACAAGATTAGGTTTAGGCACATGACCTTTCTAAAAATAGTTCGTAAAGCGTAATGCAAGATTTTCGTAAGTTAAGTAATCAGACTAATTAAACATACTAATTTTTCAATTAACAAACGATATGTAAGTATATAAATTTATTCCACAGCATATAGTTAACATTTATCTACATAGTATCGGTATTATTACTTAAAATATAAAATAGGGGAGTAATATTAAACCGTAACGTCCTGTAACTAACGCGAAAAGAATTGAAGTTTCATCTTTTCGTTACCGGTGCGATCATGTATCTCTTGCACCATTGTTTATTCATTTACTTCCACTTATTGAATGGCAATATTTTAATTTTAAACGACTTCCATTCATTTATTATAAGCAACTTTACATAGCGCGCTCAGAGAATAGCGCGCTACTGACGTCAAAGTGAGTAGTCTCGCTCCAGGGTACGTTTTCTAGCCTCTCGCGGTTAGCAATTAGAAACTTCCTCTTAAATTAGTTAATAATTTTTTTTCGATTTTTTTATAGGTGCTATATGTATTAATGAAATGAGTAGAACCCATTTGTAGCAAAACTTAAAAATGTGAATTCTCCCTATTAACTTTCCCTTCTCAAAATTGGACAACTGGCCCATTTTAATAGAATCAGTGAATTCAATCTGTTAAACGCTACTTGAAATGTACGAAACATCGACGTGTGGCCCAAATCATTCAAAAAATATCGAGGAACCATTTAAGAAATAAATGGGTACATAAGGAATTTAACGACCTTCTGGAGCTGAACAAAGAGTTTTTTAGCAGTATGATAAAATTTTGCAACAATTTTCAGTTTCATCATGAATTACTTCCTGAGATGCTGTTTTTCAAAGTAAAACTTGCATAACTGTCGTCACATACGACAACCAATTGATCTCAGATTTTGCATATTAGTGGTGCCAAATAAAACTTTTGAAAGGGGGGGGGGGAGTACACGTTCTACCATTCATGGTATTATAATGAAAGATCTGATCGAAATCAATTGGTTTGTACAAACTATAACTTTCACGCGGGACTTTTCGAGATCAGTGACGGAGCCTGAAGGAAGGGGGGGGGGGGATTAAATTCAAAGGTCTCAACGAAACGACCTCTTATCGTGATCGGGTATATTCCCTTATATCTTCAGAACGGATTGTCGGAAGAGGGCGATTGGGACGCCTGGAAAAAATATATCCATTGGTGAAAACTTTGAGAGCGAATATCTCGAAAACAGTTTGTCGGAGGAAGGTACCTTCAAAGATAAAATGAATCAACTGGACGAGACATATCTATTGGTGAAGTCGAAGCAAATACCTTGACAACAAAGGGTACTCACAAAAGGCAAGTGAAACGTCAGAACGAGAGTGTATTTGTACTATGATGTGTGATCTATTATGAGATCATGTTTAAGAACTATTATAATTTGATTTACTATCATGCCGATGTTTGAAGTTGTTCTTAATGTTGTGCACTGGATTGTTTCTGTTATTGGTGAACACAGTTGACAAGAATTATGTGTCCTTGTTTTGTCCTTACCTTACCTACGCCGTACGTGGATGACAGTGCATTTTTATTTATACTTGCGATCTTATATTAAGGATTTGTTTTGGCGCATTGATTGATGAGTTTCTACATTTGCTTTAATATATATATAAAAAAGGAACCTCAATTGTTTATTGTTTCTAAAGCGATCGATTTCGGGTTTAACCACCCATCATCAGGCTATACTTTTAGCATAGCCTGATGATGGGTGGTTAAACCCGAAATCGATCGCTTTAGAAACAATAAACAATTGTGGTTCCTTTTTTATATATTAAAGCAAATAACGAACCCCAAAAATAATGGAGAATTACATTACAAATAGTTTCTACATTACCGGCAGATTTCCCCGCCATTTCAGTGAAACCAAACATGTGATTCTACCTGTGACCTACTTATACATGGATGTTGTTTGTACGTGGAGATTTATTTCAAGATAGTTCGTAACTTCAAGTATTAACGAAACCTCTTTGGAAATTATCGTCTTGTAAATCGCTCTGTTATACCCGATACTACGTACTTTGTTTTTGTCGCTACCAAAGACTTGACTTTACAAACCGCTTTTGTTTACGTTACTTTATGATTGCTCCAAAGATTCATTTCTGTTAGTTTGTTTACATTGTGTCCTTCAGATTAACTGTGTTATACCGATAGAAGTACCCTTGTTTTGTAAATAAGTTTTGAAGTTACCAATACTTTGTCCGAAGCCAATACCTACAATTTTTTAGCGCATTTTAAAAGAATTAAAAAGAATGTGCTATTGTTTGCGTTTTGTCCGTCCGTC